ACATTGAGCCCAACCTAATAGCCTGTAATCACCCGAAGTCATGCAAATTAGCGAGTCGTCAGGTTAAAGGGGAACGGTATTTGCACACATGCTTCGACTGCCCCGATGTCTATCCGTGGGTTAAAAACGAATTTGGATTAGAATTTAAATAAATTTCTAATTATAAACAACGAGATTATACAAAGATTGCAATAGTTTTTAAAACTAATTCAATCAAACACTCATTATATTACTCATTCAGAAGGGAACCACGAATTTTGACAGTTTTGTTTTGTCAAAAAGTTTTAATCTCACATGACATTGATGAAACTATTAAAGTTAATATTATTAATATTAACTAAAGAATATTAGAAAGTATACTACAGTATATACCTATTGAATAAAATACAGTGTAATCGTTCACATTACCATCATTATATCATTTTCTATAACTTTATTATAGCATTCAATTTATATTTATATAAATTCCTGTACACACACATAAACTTTTGTAAACTAATATTTACATACAATAATTGTAATACAATTATAAATGTCACACAAATTATTGAGATTCGCGTGAATTGTATGAATCAATACTAGAATTTATTATTTGAATCAATAAAAAGGTTTTCAAATGTCGACAAACAGTCCAAGTGATGACAAATTGAATACTCATAGAGTGATCAGATATATTCTTCTGGTGCTATATTTGCCGATATGTGTACTCATATTATTGTGTTCGTTATATTTAACTTACATAACAGTTAATACTTGGGATTGTAGTTCAGAGCCAATTCACATCTCAAGTCATAACGATAGCCGTTCCCAATGCATTACGATAATAGATGTCTTGAGTCAGAGGATTATGGCAATCATACCACACAGAAAGATCATACTAAGTGTGCGGACCATATCTTTCTATAATACATGGATGACATACATGTCGGCCACTATTGCCACTTACAAGTTATCTCTATTACCACTTCTATGGCTTTGTATTACATCTATATTAAGCTTTTTCATCACATTTTACGTGTTTCTCGTTTACGGTCCGTTGTCTGGCATTAATAACTTT